TGCAACAGTACTGACATCAGTCACTGGGGGTGGGGTGGGGTGCGGTGCGGTGGGGTGGGGGGCAAAGTTGACCTTTGACTTTTTGCTGCATTTTTTTGGAGTAAAGGACAAAAAGTATACATTACTTATTGTGGTACGAGATCCCTTGACGAACAATTAAAAAATAAAATAAAAAAACAATGCGCCCTACCTGATTAGGCACCAAAGTCGGACTACTCGTGTTCCCACAAAATGTTGCGTTCTGGACAACGCGTCTGCGAAGCTCCGAGACAGTGGGAATCTCACTCTTCCTCTACAAAGCAAAGGGGCAGCTTAAGTTAGCTATAGAAAACACAGAGAGGTTTACGTCTTTAGAAATAAGTGCAAGTCATATCATATACATGTATGTAGGCTGACATCACCTTCTTTGGTAATTGTAACTTTGCAGCTGCCAGCTTTGGGTACATGGTCTGTTTCGTTGCCCGGAAAACGACTTCATCTCGCTGGTTGACCAGGATGTGAGAGCTGGTCACCACGGAGTACTTGCCGCTTCTCCCTGCGTCCTCCACACTGTCGATACAGAAGTAAGCTCTGACGGTTTCTCCTTCTGTTATAGGCCTCAGCTGCACGGCATTGAAAGTACCGAGATGAAATCGGGCGACTTCTGAGGACCTGCCATGAATGGAACACAGAAATTAAAACTATGAAAATATCATGCATAGTAGCAAATCTCGACTAAACTTAAACTCTTTCTTCTATCGAGCTACTTCTGATAAAAAAAATTAGCGGAAGAAAAAAAATTAAATTAAAATAGGGAAATACATGGATTGCTACATGGAAAAACTGTTCTCCTTAAATAAGAGTAATGATAATAATTACTTGTCTATGGTGTGAAATTGTACAGTTACTGTGCAATGCTATATATCTAACGCTTACGTGCTTTAAAAATTGCGCCTTTACCCCTTTGTATCTGCCTAGTTTTCATTGATGTGCTAAAGTAGCCGACATCCAACCACCCAACTTAACCCTACCTAGACCGGGGGGGGGGGGCTAAAAGTGCCCGCGCCAACTTTGATGTCACCTAGCGTCTGAACGGCTAGCCCTAGAACGATCAAACTTGGTGACTTTTCCTAGAATATTGTTGGCAACAATTCTTTATCATTGGAATAGAAAAATGATTATTTGTGTTGCCATTGCAACGGGTTTCTGACAGGCATTTTTTTGCTAAATTTAGTACTTTTTATTTCAACAATAGAATTTTATGGGTTTTATGTCAAGTTACTCATGGTTTCTAATATTAATAAGATCCCATATAATTTTATGTAAATTTTATCATTATATATGCAAACCAAAAAAAGCCCGGTCTAGGTAGGGTTAAACGAATTACAAGGAAAAAATATAAGATCAATTTACTTTGCCACAGCCAAAGATAGCGCCAATGTCGCAAGTAGATGGAAGGGAGGCTGGATTCCCGGAAGGTCCATCTTCTTTGCTGTCAGGTCTGAACTGTTCACACCCCGAGCGTTGAAAAATGAAGAGTCCCAGGCAACTCGCCAAGACGAATCCAAGGTGACAGGTACGATTCCTGTGGTCCATTCTCCTCCTTTGATTGAGTGACCTGTGAGTCCTCCTTTCCGTATCAGTGGAATAATGGTGCCCGAATTTTCATTGGATTTACCCTGCGGTCTATCGTTTATACGTACGGATGATTTCAATTCCTGGATCTTTCTGTGTGTCTCCAGGATGTGGGTAGCACTGAAAAGATGAGGAGGCCCAATGAACTCCCGGTACTCCTGGGGTGTTCGCTGATAGACCCTTACTCCTGCCGTGACTTGTTCGGCCCACTCTATCTCTTGTCGTGTAGGGGTATAAAGCTGGTTTACAAAAGGCACCAGCAATGGATGCACAATAATCATTCCTGTATGTGGAAAGGTAGACATAAAGCTTATCGATCAATGGGTGGAATCATACTTGATACTCCATTGATTAAGACATCCATTGATGTAGTTAAGATATCCACCTAATGATGTTGTCCTCCATCTTAAATAATCTATTAATCTATGACGTAAAATTATTTTAAACAATTACATGATATAACATGATATAACACAAGATATCAATAATGTTAGGAAGTGTTTGCAATCCAACATGAAAACCTGCAACCTTGTTAACCCTAGACCTAGACCGGGCTTTTTTGGGCTTCGTGGGACGGGGGAAGGGGCTCATTCGGCTCCACCTCTCAAAACTCGCGAACGGTATGTTGTACTACCACATTTTAGAACAATTTTATGTCGTTATGACGTAATACGAAGTCATTATGACGTCATTGGTGTGATTTTATTGGCCCAAACCGTATAGATATGCTATTCCCTTAAAACCCAACGGTTTACAACGTAACTGAAAAAAAGGTTTTTATTATAGAATAAGATGGGCATACTAAGACTTAAGTTGCCCATAGCAACACCAGTGACGTCATAGAATGACGTCATGCATATTTAAGCTATCCGCCATCTTGGATCATCAATCTTGCATTTTGAAAAAAAAATTGTTTTTGTTTTTTTAGATAAAGGCTAAAATACATTGAAACACACACACACACACACACAAACACACACACACACACACACACACACACACACACACATGTACACACACATACACACAAATATGTACTTTTAGTTTTTAGAATACCATCATATCCAAGAGTTTTTCCACTTGTAACGTCACTTTCCAGACGGGGAAAGTTGTCCACGTAGCTCACGGCGTCGATCGCTGCTATTCCGGCCGTTTTCGCGGCGTGCAGAATCTGGAGTTGAAAAGCATTTCCGATGGGACTGGTCAGGGGAGGTCTCTGGAAACAAGCAGCGATGTCCGCCCTCCCATTTATAAGTGCCGTCATGCGAGAGGATGCCTGTAAGGGTACATGGAGTTTTAAATCTCTCAATAAGGCCATGTTGATTTGATTATATGGATGACATCTATGGGATCCCCAAAACTGATGCGCGCGTGCAAATAAAAAAAATTTTTGCAATAAAAAGGTGTTTTCATTATGAAATCTACGTGGTCATGAGGGTTGAACAAATGGGACAGAGTATGGTTTGGCGAATAATCTACTCTTCAAATTCATTTCTTTACATTTTCGTCTTTTTTCGTTTGATTTCGGCATTCTACGACATTGGTATAGTTTTTACTTATTTTTTTTTGTAACTCACGGTATATTTTTGCTTATTTTGCAACTGTTTTGTACAATTTACAGTATGGTTGAAAACTTTTTTTTTTGGAAACGGCCGACAATTCATGCGCGCGCGGATGTCATCCATATAATCAAATCAACATGGCCTAATGTAGACTTCAAACTCGTAGTAGTAAGCTATTCCTGCAAGTGTTGTTGAATGATTCGCAATTCGAGAGTACTCGACGTAGGACCAAAAAATAAGGCTAAAGGATACTAGTATTTAAAAACATCGTAATTACAGAATTCTATCCTTAACTATGCAATTCACCAAATAACGATAATACCTTTTTCCTACACTTTTCCGGTTTAAAAGATTTCGGGAGAAAGTCGCCTGCAGTTAGGGAACAAGCTGGTAGGCCTAGGGCGACAAAACCCGCACCACTCATCTCTTTTTAGGAAAAGCTGTCTGTCACCAAAAAACCCAAGACTATAGCATGTTTAAAACAAAAGATACAAAAACCAGAAGTCCTGCTGCAGTACCAAGTTCAGCCACCTGGGGCCCATATTTGACCTCAACCTTTGTCTTTCTACAACCTACCATTATACCAAATATAATAATCACAATCAATAAAGGCTTTCTGAAGTTATGCTGACTACAAATGTGAGGAAACAGAGAAACACATACACAGAGAGAGAGACAGAGAGAGCGAAAAAGAGAGACAGAGAGGGACACCAAAAACAATACCTCCATTTATTATGAAGGTTATTACATAGAAATAACCTTTGCAATGTCTGGTGTGTGCCAAAGTGCTTCCAATGTCTCCACTATGGCCATGATCTTGCAGTGACCGAGAAGCAAGTTTTTCTTCTTCTCTACCTCTGACAGGACTTTATCGATTTTCCTGATGTCATCAGAAGAAGCGACTTTGGGTGCGATGAAGCCCGTCAGGTCGAGATGACAGAGGGCGTCTGCTTCCCTCCTGGTGACGTCGTCCGTGATGTTACTGAACCGCACGTACACAGTCTGGCCGCGGAACATCCTGCTCTTTAGCGCCTCAGCGTACAGCCTTACGGTAGACTCTTTCTTATCTTTCGGTACCCCGTCTTCCAGATCCAGGACGTAGGCGTCGGCCCTGGCCTCCCTGAACCGTTGAAGACTCTCTTGAGAATTCTTCAGAACAAGCAAAGACCTCATGAGAGGGGAGACTACTGATGACCGTCCTCTGCTCAAGGGCCGCCAGGCGCTAGGCGATGTTGTCGTCAGCATTATGTTGCGGACACAATTCTGCTGCATCAGTCTTGAAATTAACGCCATGTTGGCACAACTGTGGAAAACAAGACGAAGGGAAGTCAGCGAAAGTCAAGGCAACGTTGATACAAATACGTCGGTGCCATTTGGATCAATGGACTTTAATCGTAAGTCAATTATATCGAATTCTTGTATATCTTAGGGAGGGGGACTATTGCCAATTTAAAAAAAGATACATTAGAAACGTGCCATTGTCTTCTTTCAAAGTTGACGATATAAGTATGCTACGAGAAGTACAAGTGCCATTTTTAATTAATACATGAATAATCTCCTCGTGAATTTAAGGTTTTGTTAATAATTTACAGGAGAAATACTTTTGGGGTAGACATGGGAAGTTCTTTAGTTACAATAAGTTTCAGTGATTTTAAGATGTGGCCAAAACCGTCAACTCAGATCCATGAAAAAACATAGGTATTTTTTTTTTCAGATTTCTTACCTAACTTGACTAAAATACTAGCATTTTTTTTGATGACGGAAATAATTACCTTCATAACATGTCATGGAGGTTATATTTTCAGTTGCGTTAGTTATTCTGTCTGTCTGTTGGTCAACAAGATAACTCAAGAACAGCTTCATGGATTGGTTTCATACTTGGTGCGTGAATAGGATGTGACAAAAACTACAAACAAGAGTTCCGAGATCTCATACCTCAATGAAATATGGACTTGATATGTACATGTCAATTCCTTTCTTAATTATGCAAATTACCTCTACATTAACATAATAGATGCATCATGATGTTAATTTTTCATTAACCCTACCTAGACCAAGGGGGGGGGGGCTGAAAGTGCCCGCGCCAACTTTGATGTCACCTAGCGTCTGATGAACGGCTAGGGCTAGAAATTGATGACTTTCCTAGAATATTGTTGGCAACAATTCTCTATCAATGAAATAAGATAAGAATTGTTGTGTTGCCATGGCAACGGGTTTCTGACAGGCATTTTTGCTAAATTTAGTAATTTTGTGTTTCAACAATAGAATTTCATGGGTTTTATGTCAAGTAACACATGGTTTCAAATATTAATAATATATCATATAATTTCATGTAAATTTTATCATTAAATATGCGTAATTTATGCTAATTTGATGACGTCATTGGCCAAATGACCCCCCCCCCGTCCCACCAAGCCCCAAAAAGCCAGGTCTAGGTAGGGTTAAATTATACATGTCCTAAGTATGAAATCATTTACCATTAAGGGGTGATAGAATTTTCACATTAATTAGGCAGATTAGAGCAGTATTTGCATAATTAGTATCTATTGATAGTTCACCTGCCATAGATTATAAACATTACATGTATCAAAGCCCCATGATGTAAAACACTGAAATTAAAGAATTTCCTCATCAATTATGCAGATGAATTTATAATTTGCATAATTTGTATCTAATAGTGTAGATCTCTGTCTAAGCTACCCACATACCAAAAAGGATGAATTTACATTGATTCTATATGAAGGTATCTGCTCTAAAAGGTTTCGCCAGAAACCCCCCTGCAGATCCAGGACAAGCTGCTAGGTGGACAAAAACCACACCACCTATTCCTGACAGGAAAAACTATCTGTCACCAAAAAGTCAATACCATATAATGCTCAGGACAAATGATACAAAAACCAGAAATTCTGCTGCAGTACCGAGGTCAGCCTCCTGGAGGCCCATATTTGACCTTGACCTTAGTCTTTCTAAGACTTACCAACATACCAAATATCATCACAACCCATAAAGGCATTCTGACGTTATGCTGACTACAAATGTGCGGAAACACAAACACACAGACACATACACAGACAGACACACACACACACACACACAGACACGCAAAAAAAACAATACCTCTATTTTTTATGGAGGTGATGAATAGATATGGGGCCCCTTGGTGGCTTCCCTTGGTTCGGCAGTACAAAATCCGGTTTTAATATCTCGCGATCTGGACATACTATTGTCATGAATTTTAACTGGTAGATGCTGGTTCTAACAGGGTTCTACATGTTCCAACAGCAGAAGGCGTTGGAAGATCCCATTACTGTATGGAGGTATAAACTATTGGAACAAAAATTTTGGACAGGTGTGATTTAAGAACAGTCCATTTGTGCGGAAGGGGGTAGGTCCATTTTCGTACGGGGATGTTGTAAAGCCTTCCGAGCAAATGTCGGTCTTTCAAGTTTAATTTATTGTTTTCTGAACTCAAATTACAATATTTTGCGCATAAAATTTCCTTCCTTTTGGGCTGTAAGTCATGGAGGAAGCAAAGACAGTTTATGGGTGTAAAAATGAACTTTTCATGTTAAAATGCCAGCGGGGAGTTGGATATTTCACCAACCATAGCGATTCTTCTAGCGAAGCACCAATCATAGTGATTCTTGAGTTATCGAATGTGTTAAGCCCTTTGTGCACTTTTTTGTCAGATGACTCGACCGGTCTGTTATCTCTCAGGTAGGTACATTTAGTAGCAGACTGAGTACCGTCCATTTATGCCATACTCTCACAACAAACAAGAAACAGGAAATCTGTATGTCGCAGACTCACAGTGATTTGCTTAGATATCCTTTCCTTATCGCGATGGCTGTCACTCATTCATTCCGTGTGTCGAGCTCGCTCCGAATCTGGCCACAATGACTATGTTTACAATTTAGGAAAACAACATAGACTAACTCGCTAATCATGACAACTACTTGTCGGTCTTCCTCTCGTCATATAGCTCTATTAACCTAGGACCTGGCAATGTTGCCAAACCGGTTTCTTCCCTCGTCACCAAGGTGAACCCTGACCTGCACCGCCCGACAGCGCCAGACCTAGAGTCTACCACAAGAAACCTAGGGGTCTGCTAGTTGGAGAGATTTGACTGTACGTAAGTTATTGAAGCTATTCTTTTATACTGGTCCGATTCTTGGGTCATGAACACTACGAGATCCAAAAAAACTTGACGGTACTTACACTACGATGTTGCAGGTAGTCTATAACCATGGAGGTATTTTTTTCTACCTCCATGCTATAACATACCCTGGTGTAAACACATCACAAATTAATAGTTATATGGAGCATTCCCAAACATTACCACGGTAGTAAAAAGACGTCGGCTCAGCCTCGCGAGTCATGTGACTCGCGGCACAGAACCAGCGGGTCGATTACTACTCTGGACTCCAGAGGCAAAAAGGATAACTGGGCGTCCAATCACAACACTTAAAGGTTTTATCCAGTCTTACACTGGTCTACAAGGATTGGAACGTTTGTCTGCTATGAAAGACAGAAAGTACTGGCGACAAAACTTCACACGCTGCACCTCAAAAGAGGATGAGTAAAGAGAAAGAAGAAGTTATTTCCTCTCTTTGCAATTCAGAAGTTCGAGAATTGACTTCTATATATCACTGAAGGTTTGTCAGTGTTGCTTATTTACTTACAGTTCTTTATCTGCAACCAGATGTTTGGCGGCTACAAATCAGTATGATATGGGCAAGATAGTGTCCATTTGCCACCTGTTTTGGCTGGCGTAAAAGAAGATACCAGTACAAGAAAAAAATCCCGATAAAAACACGCCGAAAAAAGCCGAAACCTTCACCTCTGTTCACAGACTATAGAGTCCTAACGCGTGTATCTTTACAGGTCAAAAACAACATATCTGCGGAAAAAGAAAAAACACCCCCTGTCATGGAAAGACTACTGAAGACAATGTTCTCAAGACGCAATATGGCCAAAACTTCCATATATGGTCATCTAAAATCAACGAATGTATTCATCATTTCTTTTTTGTAGAGAGGGAAATGTAACAAGAATATCCCTTCTTAAATTTCGTTTATATAAGATTTGTAGCGTTTTAATAGTCATGAGAGACAGCCACTAAAATGTTCTCTACCCCTAAATTTGGGTAAAGCGTGCATGGGAGCTGTGCGATGTGTTATTGCTGCGTCCTCAGATGCTGTAGTACTGCAGCGTTGAACTTCGTGGGTTCCGCAGTATCTGTTATTTCTTGAGGCAAATTATGGTTTATACTTTGGTAATAAATGTATTAAACATCTAATTCATTATTCCATATTTTTATGATACCAAAATTCTTTTAAACTCCTTCGCTGACTTTCATTAAAATGTTACTTATTGCAATATTGAAAGGTAGAGACTGGGATTAGAAACTAACATTTAGAGCTTAAAAATAAATAAATCTAATTATCATCGTTCTTGTATTTGTGACTGTGTGCATTTTGTTTCTCTTAGTGGGATAGTTTAGAGTCATGGAAGTCATCACATTTCAGGGTAGAAAAATATACATGACGTCTTCTGAATAAAGCAATCTGTAAAATATTGACACCCTGTCTTAACCTGTCACATATTAGGTGAAAGGTTGACAACCGTGCCCGATCACAATTATCCGAAACTGCATTTATTGTCGTTTGATGAAAACACACAAGGTAGTGTATTAGGCCGTGTTTAAGTGAAGTCACCCAATGCGCGATTCGGGTAACTCACATTCCTCACATCTGGTCCACGTGCCACACAATCCTTTAAAACCGTGTCCGATCTCAATTCGCTTGAGCTAAATTTATTGTTGTTTGGTGAAAACTCGTAGGTAGCGTGTTATTAATGTCAGAGCCTGAGGTCAACAACCTGTTTGCTGGTGCCCCCCTCCCAGCGTACCTCGGCCGAATGCCGACGTGGTCCCACCAGAGGCGCTGAAGCTCGTCCTAGAACGGACACATTATTTGACCATTACTGCTCTTTTAGTTGCTGCCACGTAAAATTTGGTATAGCATACAGAAATGTAACCCCTTAATCCATGACCAGGTGAAGTCAGATTGAAATCACATTGCGTTCAGACGCAAATCGCGATGAGGGAAAACCAATTCGAAACCACGTCTAGGAGTGGTTTGGGATCGAGGCGCTTTCAATGTGATTTGGAGCATTGGAACATCTCATAAAAGGTCGTATTCGCGCATATAAGTCAACATCTCGTCTGTGTTTTTTTAATGTTATGTTGGAAAAGATATCTTCTGCAACAGGCAAAATTTTGATGTAACAGT